AAGATGCTCACGGAGAACATCAGATAGCCAAGGGGCAGAAGAGGTGGTACGAGCTGGCCTGGAAGACAAGGGGCAGACAGTGTCTAAACAAATTGTAAGAGTGGAGCAGAAAGTACTGCTAGCACTGTTAACATCAAGAGATGATAACTGTTCAAGGGAAGGAAGCAAAGATGAAACCATAGTAGATAGCCGGGAGAGTGAGAGTGAGCGTAGGTTACGTCGAAAAGTGACATGTGTAGGGGTATGTGTTGTGTCAGGAACCATGTTGAGGTTAAGAGTGAGGAGGAAGTGATCCGAGGTGTGTAGTGGAGTAACCAGCACATGATCAGTGGAGCAGTGTCGTGTGTAAATAAGGTCCAGTTGGTTGCCTGATTTGAGTAGACGTAGTTAACACTCTCTTGAGATCAAAAGAGGCAAGCAGAGTGTGGAAGTCTGCAGCCTGAGGTTTATTTAGGTGGATGTTGAAGTCTCCAAGCATAACTAGGGGAGTACCATCCTCAGGAAAGTTTGAGAGCAGCACATCTAATTCTTCCACAAAGTTACCTAGTGGTCCTGGGGGTCGATAAGCAACTATACAATTGATTTTAAGAGGGTGGGTAATAGTGGCTGAATGTGATTCAAAGGAGCTGTTGATACTCAGAGATGTTCCTGTGGCTCAGTGGTAGAGCATTGTGTTAGCGGCGCAAAAGGTCGTGGGTTCGACCAACATACTGGTAAAAAATGTATAGCCTGAATGCACTGTAAGTCGCTTTGGATAAAAGCGTCCGCTAAATGCATACATTATTATTATTAATTCATTATTATGGGTTCGACCAACATACTGGTAAAAAATGTATAGCCTGAATGCACTGTAAGTCGCTTTGGATAAAAGCGTCCGCTAAATGCATACATTATTGTTATTAATTCATTATTATTATGGTAAAGGATTACATTTCCAATTATTAGAGATAAGCAGACCAGTACCTCCACCTCTTCCAGTCAGACGGGGGGAGTGGGAAAAAGAGAAATTATTGGAGAGTGCTGCATGTGTAGCATTGTCCTCTGGTTTGATCCACGTCTCTGTCAGGGCCATGAGGTTAAGTCTTGTATGACTAAATGATAATAGAAGTAATAAAATCTGCTTTGTTTACAGCAGGCTGGCAATTCCACAGACCAATAGAAAAAGAAAGTAGTGTATTAGGAGACATAGGCAAAGTGCGCAGGTTGTTAGGATTGCACTGCCTACAGTGTGTGATGCATGGTTTGCGAGTGGTAGTGATAGTAGGGATCTGGAAACACATAGTAAGAATTGGTTATAAAAACTGAAAACGGAAGTGAAACAAGTAGTAGGAAAGAGAATGATTCAAAAGTGATACTTATGTCCCTTGCCTGTGTCCCTGCTCGGTGGAGTCCAACGATAGAGTCGATGGTCTTTACACTCTTCGGTCTTCACACGAGGGCTGCCGCGGTATACTAAGCTTTTTATATTCGTCTAACAAAACTCAAATTGAATTCAGCTGGACACACTTTCCTGTTTATCACAACAAATGGCCAAGCAAAGCGCACGACACTGACAAGGTACGCGATACAGTACGAGACCAAACGCGATTTCAGCACGTCTCCACACAGTAAACAAAACAAGCATACGACAACTGCGCTAAACACTGAGACAAGAAATAAATACACTTACGAGCTGCTTTTAACTTCTGCTGATTGACTGCTTCTCTCAGAGAGTATTTCTTTACACTGTTTTGCTGGCGCTTGAACACACTTTCCTGTTTATCACAACAAATGGCCAAGCAAAGCGCACGACACTGACAAGGTACGCGATACAGTACGAGACCAAATGCATAAAATAAAAAATTACATATTGTGCCTTTAAGTTTTTCATGTAATATTTATGTTTCTTATTTCAGCTTTATTTAAATTAAAATAATTTTTAATAATAATAAAAGCACATCATATGACTAAATGTAAAACTCTCCTTTCCTTTTTAGTCACCAAACGAGATTTCAGACTACTCCTCTTATGATGATAATGATGAAGATCCAGAAGAAAACAGAGCAGACTCTTCCTTTCTAGACGCAGCTGAGACCAGCAGGTAGTCGGTCAGCGAGTGGGTCCGATCTGCTCAGGCGATTCTTCAGACACCTCAGAAACAAACCCCTAAGAGCATCATGACCCCAGAGGACTCGAGTAAAAAGAGGAGGAGGTTTGAAAGGTATGATCTATGGTACTTGGATCTTAATCTTCATTTCAGTGCAACCCTGTGCAAGATGAACTCAATTTATGAGTTCAGTGATTGGCTTTATGATTGGGATTTATCGTCGTAACTGACAGTAATCCTTCATACTGTTATATATTCTTACAGTTTTTTTTTTCACAGTTTGACGTCAAGTTCACCCAAAGTTTCATATCGGTGTAAACACACAGAATACAAAAGGGTTCAAAGTTTAGGTTTAATAATGCATCCACACACTTACCATAAAAACCTCCTTTTACTTAGGTTTTGCTTAGGTTTTGATTGGCTATCAAGGATTGGCTTCCTTTGCTTATTTTTGTCACCTTCTGTCAATTTACCAGAGTATTTCCTCCTATGCTCACTAGAACCAGCACCACATGCATAAGAGTCTTTTGTCAGATATTACTCAGCAGTTTCTTTCTAGTCACCATCAAAGACTGAGCCCAGCCCATGATGTTTTTACCATAAATGAGTCGTTAGTCAGATTTTGTGAATGGGAGAGGCAGGACGTGTCGAGTGTTTTCCCTCACGGGGGAGCTGTGTCTCTTTTTGGCTCTTGTTAGTCCACCGCTCCTTCTACTGACACTCAGTCCCTTCTGCAGGCAAGCGCAGGCTTTTTATGTTCTTTATTATGCATTTATGTGACTTCACACATAAAGATTATAGCACAAGCACACGTAAAACTACCACCCACCTGTAACAAAATGAACCCAAATATGTACATCATAAACATAAATAAAGCAAATAACCATTAACAAGTGCATGCAGAATGGAGCTGCTGTGGTAATAAGAAGCATGTGGTTTAGCTAACAAGCCTGTAACAAATGTAAGCTTATTACGTTTTATGAAAGACAAAACATTTAGCTAATTATTGATCAGTTTTCCCTGTTCTGTGAATATAGATTATAGTGAATATGACTATAGTGAGTATGATTGATTTCTTGAAATTGATTCTCTGTGTTTGATTCTATGGTTGAATGAATCAGATTGACTCTCTAAATCAGGGGTGCCCAACCCTGCTCTAAATGGAGTTGATTCATGGGTTCTTATTGATTCTCTATGACGGATTTTTGTTGATTCAATCAGATTCATTCTCTATGGTTAATTTTATTGAAATGATTCTAATTTATTCTTTATCATTAATTGATTCTGTGTAACTGATTCTGTACAAATGATTCTGCATGGCTGATTTTATGGTTCCATGTAATTGTTTAGCCTATGTGTGATTCATTCTTTATGATTGATTCTATTTAATTGATTTTATATAAATGATTCTCTGGGATTGATTCCACTTGACTGATTTGAACTGATTCTCTATGACTGATTCCATGGATCTAACTCTCTGTCTTTGAACAGATTCAAATTAATTCTCTTAATGGAATTGATACAATGAGACTGATTCGAGTTGATTCTCTTGACTCATTCTATATGATTGATTCTAGTTGATTCAGTCAGATTCATTATTTAATCCCTGCTCTAAATGGAGTTGATTCATGGGTTCTTATTGATTCTCTATGACGGATTTTTGTTGATTCAATCAGATTCATTCTCTATGGTTAATTTTATTGAAATGATTCTAATTTATTCTTTATCATTAATTGTATGAATCTAATCAATTCTCTATGACTGATTCAATGGGATTTATTCTTACTGAGTCTATGGGATTGATTCTCTATCATTTATTCTGTGGCATATTTTATAATCTAATCCATGGGATTCATTCCTTAAAATTGATTCTGTGTAACTGATTCTGTACAAATGATTCTGCATGGCTGATTTTATGGTTCCATGTAATTGTTTAGCCTATGTGTGATTCATTCTTTATGATTGATTCCATTTAATTGATTTTATATAAATGATTCTCTGGGATTGATTCCACTTGACTGATTTGAACTGATTCTCTATGACTGATTCCATGGATCTAACTCTCTGTCTTTGAACAGATTCAAATTAATTCTCTTAATGGAATTGATACAATGAGACTGATTCGAGTTGATTCTCTTGACTCATTCTATATGATTGATTCTAGTTGATTCAGTCAGATTCATTATTTAATTCTATAAAAATGATTCATGTTTATTCTTTATCATTGATTTTATGTGATTGATTGCATATATAAATTATTCTGTGGGCTTGTATTCATGCAACTGAATCTATAGGTTTGATTCGTTGTAACTGGTTCATGGTGGTTTCAATCATCACGTGTGTTTGATTCTGAATGATTGATTCTGTGTGATTGATTCAATAGGTTTGATTCTGATTGTGATTGTGTGATTCTGAATGTCTGATTTTGTTTGATATAAATTATTGATTCTATATGGATGATTCTGTGGGACTGATTCCATATGACTGATTCTGAGTGCTTAAACCTATAGGTTTAATTCTCTGGGATTGATTTTGTGGGATTTGAATTTATGCATTTTATTCTAATTTATGCATGAAGTAATTAGCTTTAGAATGATTCTGTGGGATTATTTCAAATTCAGTTGATTCTGTTGGGCTGATTCAATTGATTCTGTTTGCCTGAATCCGTGTGATCTCTCTCTCTATAGGGGAGGTCTTGCTGAAAGACTGAACCGACTCCACAGCAGGCAAAGATCAGCCATCAGCTTCTGGAGACATCAGTGCAGCTCAACTACATCAGCTGGTAAAACACATCCATCTGAATCCTGTCTGTTTATGTGAAGACTCAATTATGTCTTGAATGTCAGCTCTGTACAGATCATTAGTGGTGAGTTCTCTGTTCCTGACCACTAATGATAACATTATCATAAATGTTTTCACAATTAAAAATGTCTTTTCATTTCAATACTGCCAGTGTCAGATCTGACCCAAAGAATGGGTCAGGAAATAATTTAACCACCAACCCGCAGCTTTCATATTTCCATAATTGCTTGTCATGCTTGATGAAATGTGTAGAATATTCCAGCGATGAGATCTCACTGTGTACAGTTGGAGTAGGAGGCTGTGAAAGCACGCTTGTTTCATGTGATTAAGGTGACAATAATTGTCACATAGCCAAAGCAACAGGAAACCACAGACACAAAAACACACTGCAGACAATCACACACCTTACGTTTTCATTTTCCATGGTATAACGTATTTCTTTTCAAACAGTGCCCTACTAGGGGTCTTCAGCGTGTGTAGGTATGTTTGAGTGGAGGTTTAAAGAAGTGAATGTTTCAGTTGACGGTGGAAATTCAAGAGAAAACGTAAAATGATATGAGGAAATTCAACTTGTGTGATGCACTACCAGTGCAAAGCAGGTTTGTTATTATTATTATTATTAAGTAAAACTAAATGTTCATTGCTTGAAATAAAATATTGAAACCTTTTTATTTCAGCTACTGTATTTGCCAAGACAAAATATCTTATTTTTGAAAAACTAAACTTACACTAAATAAAGTAAAACTTAAAACAGACATATTATATAGACATATTTTATATAATATCATATAACTATATAGACATATAAAAAAATATATATATATTAATAATAATAAAAGTGACAAAACACAACAAAATTAATGAAAAAATGAAAACAAAATATAAAAATAATATCAAATATTAACAGAAACTGTAATAGTATATCAATGATTCTAAAATAACACTGGTGGAAAGTTTTTAAATAAATATTTTCATAATTAAAAAAATAGTTGATTAAAATTGTTATTCATCTAAACTTTTTTAAATCTCAAATGTATATTGGTTTAATTATATTCTAGTTTTGAATGTCTGTCTTTCCACATCTACTGATTCATTGCATCTTGTGCATGTAATGTTAGCTGACTAACTCTGAATTTAGTTCTCAAGCATGTGGAAAAGTGATTTAGGATGATTGGATATAGATTATGGACAGCTTTGCAACTGGCATAATTCCTTAGAAAATTCCTAAAGAAATTCCTCCCACTCACTTCTTGCTTGTTGCAAGATTTATTTTTATACGCAACAAATTAGGTGTTCTCATGGCTGATAAATCAGATGTCAGTGTGTGCATTTAGCAGCTAGTTCCTTTCCTTTTCATATGCATAGCTTTTTGGTACCATTTCCTCCCAAAAAACTGAAAAAAGCCAGTGTTCCTTGTATTTTTGTTTCACATGCTATTGCATTGAGTAAGTTTAGCTTGTTTCTCTCACTGCTTTACATTTTTCACAAAAATTTCCATTACACGTTCTACTCTGAAGTCTTGGCTGTGCTCGCCATGATTTCAGCTGAGTCAATTGTGTTCATGTGTCCAATTGAGGGGGCCAACTATTCCTTGAACAGTCAGCATGGGAATACAGTATATCCCATCAGAGAGCTGGATTTTGTTTCATTTCCTCAGAACTGACTGAAATGAAAAACTTGAAGCCGTGCCAGTGTTGAGTTTTCACTGCATAACCCAAAATATCCTGCTGCTGTTATTCATTTACTGGGCCTGTATTGTATCTGTGCTGTTTTGCAAAACTTAATGACTTTGAGAATGAAACTGTCTTTCAGAGCTGGTCATTTTATAAACTTTAAAGCTTACTTCCAGACTAATTGTTCATGCTGTATAGTACTTAACTATATTAAATGTTGTTCAATCAACCATAGTTAAAATTAAGCTTCATTCAAAACATTTTTTCCTAGTAGAAGCAGAGATTTTGTGTAAGAGACTGAGTATTGTCCAAAGTTAGGACTTAAATTGTATGTACATTGTTTTTTTTGTTTTTTACCCAAGCTGACAGGCCAGGGGTGCTGATGCTGAGGATTCTGGGAGTTCGGGAGGAATGTGGCATGCAGGCTGCTGTGTGTGACAGGCTGCCGGTTGGAGAAATGTGTGTGGCTCTTTTCAGCAAGGACACGACTGCCCAGTTACTGCCTGTACCCGGAGACATCGTCCACATCTACCCACCATGGTGAGAGTCCTGTTACTGTAAAATAGCAGAAATAGAGTTTGTTTATTACCTGTGCTGATTGTCAATACCTTTTTTTTTTTCAAACAATCTTGGGCAGTTTATTGGTTACTGACATAATACCCTTGTTTTTGACAGTAATTTAAAAACATTTATATATTTAAAATAATTTATATAATTAGTAGTGCTTGCTCATGTATTTGAACAAATCTTTAAGTATTACATTTTGCTTATAATACGGGCATAAATAATGCCTTAAACTGCGTGGATTGCTGAGGAAAGGTATAGTTTACTTTTACTAGGGATTGGACAATGGGGGAAAAATAACTTTCAATAACTCAGAATACCCTAGCAACCACTTACAAGTTCTAGTTATATTAAAGGGGTGGTTCACTGTTTTTTTTCTAGGCTTGATTGTGTTTATAGGGTGCAGTCTAACGTGTTAATGCTTCGTTTTTTTAAAAACACATTATTTTTCACATCATTTACCTTTCTTCCACACCGTTCTGTCCCTTCTCTGAGAAACGCGCTGATCATTTCCTTTTTTTATGAAGCCCCTCCCTCAGAAATAGGCGATGGAGTCTGATTGGTTAGCTAGCCCAGTGTGTTGTGATTGGCTAAACCGCCTCTAGTGCGCGTCTAAACGTCCAGCCCCTCACCTCAGCAGCATGTGCTGCGGTTGTATTGTAAACAACGGCGTCGTTAATATCGTTTATCAGTTTGAGCCTGATTGAGAAGCAGAGGATATTATTGAAGATCATTGTGCAGAACCTGTGCAAGCATGGCTTTTAATGGTAGGCCAATGTTTTTTGTTTGTTGTTGTCTCATACTATTAGATACGCTGTTATTTGTAAATGCTACTGCTTATGTTAGCTTTTAATATACGGTTTTATCCTGATTAAATCTTTAAAGGGTCATGAAACCCCAGACTACTTTTTCTGAGATTTTAGCAGAGGTGTTTGTGTTGCACATCATTGAAGACAATGTTGGAGAAAACTGGTTAATTTTAAGCTTTTTTGCGCTATTTTCATTTTCCGGGTTTAAAATCTACATTGTGTTGACGTCACAATTTGTGACGTGGCAATGGACTAATAGTACATCGATGACGCGTCAGTGTCTCTTAAATTATTCATGAGACTGTGTGTTCTTATCCTATGAGAAGATGCTTTGCTTAATTATTCACAACAGCATGTGTTGATTTTCTATGACAGACGTTTCAGACTGTGAGATGACATTGCTGTGCATTTATTTGTGTTTTTAACTCGATGGGAGCGAAATGAAACTGTCAGAACGCTAAGCTGTGTGTGTTGTCTGTCTCCCCTCTTCCCCCTCCTCTACTCCGCTGCGCACCACGCCCACTTTTTTTAGCATTTTTTTAAAACTGTGGTGAGAACTAACCAGTGCTGAAACGGGGAGGTTTCATGACCCTTTAATACATGTCCATGGTTAACGCTTCTCATAGCTATGTGAAAATAATGGCGCTTTTCCACTGCGTAGTACGACTCGGCTCGGCACGGCTCAGTACGGTACGGCACGGCACGGC